GCTCCGGCACCACTTCCCCGCTGTCTCCACGACGGCATACCGCCCACTGCGGGGGGAGAGAAGCGGGGTCCGCGGCGAGAGTGGCGGCGGTCGCAGGGGCGAGCAAGCTGCAGCAGCAGAAGGGGCAGGGGCAGGGGAGCAGCGTTGGTGCGCCGCCTGGGGCGAGCGGCGGAGGATCGGGCCGCCGTTCTGAGGATGGCGGCGGGGGCGGGGGCGGCATCGGTGCTGGCGCCGGTGCTGCTTCTGCTGCTGCCATGTCGATACCTGCCGGTTTTTCCTCCGAGAAGGAGGTGGATCTGGAGTCAAGCGCTAAGATCCGGCCCGTGGATAGCAGCAGCAAGCTCCGGAGAAGGTCGTCAAGCTTTGGAGGTGAGTTTGAGTATTTGGTCTGCTGGTGATTGACCAGGTGTTTTTGATTGGTATGGTGTTGACGACCGGGGGGGAAGGGAACATGCGATGTCGGCTGGCCGCGCGGAAAATTACGTAAAGGGTGGGAGGATGGATCAGCGTCGGCGGTGGCGCGCAGGTGACTCATGTTGTCGATGATTCGCCTGACGAGAGAAGCACCTGGTGTTGAGTATTGAAGACAAGAACCTGTTGACGTCGGCGGGGGCTTTACGGAGTACTTTTTTGGCTTGGGAGAAAAAATGCACCCGTTATCAGCTTGCGCGGTCGATCCAGTACTCGTGGAAGGTGTAGGCATGTGTTGCCGATGGAAGGTTGAGCCTCTCTTCCCCCCCAAGAACCCACACACACGCTCATTGGTATCTATTTCGCTGTGCCCATTCCGTCTGTCTACGTCTTGCGTGTCCGCGGACCAACAAATCAGGCGGGGTGCGCAACGCAAGCCGGCCTCTCCGCATGTCTTCTACCGAGGCGCCGGCGGCTGTCGGCGAGGACAGCTCCTTGTCGGGCGGGGGCGGGGGCGGGGGAGGCGCGGGGGGCGGGGCGGCAAGAGGCGGCGGCGGCGGAAGGTCTGAATCCTCCTCGGTGCCCACGACCCTGAAGGATGTTTCTCGGAAGGACCGCATGCAGCGCATGGATCAAAGGAGGATGAGGTGTGTGTACTTGCTTGTGTGTATGCTTGTTGCATAAGCTGCTGTAGTGGTAGCGGCGACCGTGCTTACCGGCTGACAGACGTGAGTGTCGCCGATGAATATGTGTTATTCTGGAATGGGATATAGTTCGAAGAAAAATGGACGCCGCCCAGGGTGCAAAAATTGACCTCTGTGCGAAAACCTTCTTGAGATGGTTACCCCCGAATGTGCACGCACAACAGCGACCGCCCAGTCCCCGGATTGGAAGCACTCGCACGAAGAGTATAAGGGTGACTCACCACCGCCCCGATGCGTTCCTGCCGGGGTATCTCCTCCTGTGGTAGATTGCGGATTCCTGTGTGTGTATTTGTGCCTTCTGAATTGTCTGGACGTGAGTTTTTTTTTCACGTTTCGGTGTAGTGCTTTGTGGAGGCATGCATCAACCGGGGGGTGGGTCCCATATTGGCCCGGGGCAATGAAGGGGGCTTCATCTTTTGACCGGAGGAATTGATTCCCTTCGTCTTCTGTGCCTCAAGAAATGTTTTGCTCACGTTCGAGTGGACCAGACCTCGAAAGAGGCGAGAGAAAGCAGAGCCAAATATGTGTGCTATCTCTTGGTGGAACGTTGCGTTTTTTTGCCTTGGTGTGATGTGCATTTATTCGCTTTATAGCGACCGTCATGAGCTCACGACCTGCTGCTCTTGCCCCCTTTCGACCCCTCCCTCTCCCCCGTCCCTCCCTCGCAAACTCGAAGGCGGCAAGGGCAGACTCTGGTCGACGCGGGGCTGTTGAACTTGGACGTCCTCCAAAGCCGTAGGAAGAAACTCCGGTTCGGCAGATCCAGCGTCCACGCCTGGGGGGTGTTCGCCGACGAGCCCATCGCCGCGGGGGACCTGGTCATCGAGTACAGGTGGGCGAAAGGGAGCATTCTACCACGAAATACGTGTGTGCGATCAAATCGGTGTATTTGTGCGTGCTTTTTGTTAAAGCATCGCCGCGCTAACCGGCTGACCAATGAAAGACGCCAGTCCGAGTGTTTGTGTGTGTGTGTGCTTCTTTGCCAGCATCAACCAGGCAGATGATCGGCGGGTACACGAAACTATGCGATTGGCACTTCAAGGTTAAACCACAAGCATACGTGCGCGGATAAGTTTGTTCCTTTTTCTATTCTCTTATTTTTGGTGTTCAACGTTGATATACATGGACCCGTTTTGGTCTTCCCTCCTCCCTTCACATTCCTCCGTGGCGTGTTTCTTTTTACGTGCACACCAGACACACCTATCCCCCGTGGGTCACCTTCCCACCGGCCACCCCTGGGGCGAGACTTTTTGGGGAAGTTGTTTTTTACCATGAGACTTACCATAGACTTCGGAATTCGTTTTTCGAGGGGGTGGGGGGGAGCGGTGCTCTACTTCATCACGTGGCGAAGTTCCTCTCTCTGTCGACGCCTGCCGCATGATGTCCGTTTTTGGTGCAGGGGTGAGATAATCGGGAACGCGGTCGCCGACAAGCGGGAGAAGCAGTACGAGGACATGCAGATCGGGAGCGACTACATGTTCCGTGTGGACGAGGTGAGACGGAAGAAGAAGTTGGTGACTCATCATTGTTGCTACGTGGCCATTTTTTTGGTCTGGAAACCCGTGGTCTTGATCTCCGAGGGTTGGGGTATCGCTTGGCATGGAAAATATTGAAGAGCGCCGGGCTTGACGTCCAACCAGGCTAAAGTACAACAGGAGACGACGAGAAAACGAGAGGAAGACGAGATATCGCTAGCGAGCTCCCCATCGTGTTCTGTAGATCCCGAGATGTAGATGTTCAATGCAGGACATGAGGCTGTGTAGGCGTGTTGCCCAAGGGTTCCATGCAATAATGTCTTCGGAAAGTAGGACCACGGCAAGCAAGTAGTGTTCTCAAAGGCCACCACGCGCCATATTCCGGGTAAGAGTGTGGCAACTGAGTCAAAGTGCCTTCATTCGAGTCTTGAGACGAGCAGGTTGGGCGCGAACTGTCGTGTGCAAGTGAGCGACACCCGACTCTTGTCTGCGAAAGGTGTATGCATATGTAGTGGGTGGCAGTTGGCCTTTTCGCGCAGGAGCATCACCATGGCGTGGCGCACCTAAAGCTCCAAGTGCCGGCATGCACTAGTTAGCGGTACTGGCCTGCGTGTGTAAACCCCACACCTGCACCGTTCCCGTTGCCGCGCGAGATGCAATACCAGCAGAACCTTGCGGCAACGTGGACGTACTTGGCAAAATGTCGAACACTGCTGCAAGTGTAACAAACGGTTGGCAAACACGCGAACCTAGTTGCCGTGCTGCGCCCCCCCAGCCTATTTTGCCTCTTGCTCACGGGACCTCTCCCCCTGCCCTGTGCCCCCCTCCCCGAGTTCAATGGTCTACCGACTACGGCATGCGTTTACAGTACCCCCCCCCTACCCCCCCCCCCCCTTTT